CACAAGAGTGTCCTATAAGAGTGTCCCACAAGAGTGTCCTACAAGAGCGCCCCGTAAGAGAGACCCACAAGAGTGTCCTACAAGAGTGTCCCACAAGAGTGTCCAACAAGAGTGTCATTTGGACATATGTAGCTTTTCGATCGTGTTTGCATTCGGGTTCGTGGGCTCCATCTTGTTTTTTAAATTGAAGCTTGGTTTGTCAGGGGTGTTTTTTTGAGTAGATTTTGTTGCAACGTGTTTCATATCTGCCAATCTTGGCATTTTCTGGCAAAGCAAGGTCTGTGGAAAGCATGGTGGAGGGATTGACCAAGAGAACTTTGTGCGTGTGATGTCAGGGGCACAGTCACATTCACAGTCACTTTGGGAACCAAATGACTAGTGCGAACGCTGCTTCCTTGAAGAAGCGTGAACTATACTCTGTCCTACCTAGAAACTGAAGTAACTAGTAGCGAAATTATCCCTCACTTAGTTACACTAAGTAGGCGCCTACTTACTTAAGTAAGAACGGGCTTTACAAAAAACAAATCGATGGTCAAACGCATTCCTGTTGTTCTGTCATGGAGCCAGAGTTGGCATGGCAGGTCAGTTCAAATCAAACAGCGCGATCAGGCGAGTAGAAATTACATGAAATGATAGTGGTCTAACCGTTTTTGTATTTTTTGGTTTGTTTTAGTCTTGATATTTTTAAGCCTCACAAGCATCATGAAGCTTCCAGGAGCTTGGGCTTTGGGATGCTTCAGCGGTGGATTTTGGTGCAGACCTGGAGGAGGATGACCATGAACCCAGGACACCTTCTCTTCAAACTGTTTCGTTGTCAATTCTTCGGACCTGCTTCTGACAAGAGTGAACGCAGCCTGTGCCTTCAGTACCTTAGCGCAGAAGTGGAAGAAGGAGCTGGCGAAGGCCTTTGCTGGTGCTAGCTTTAGTAGTCCCTGATTATGACTGTTGTGACTGTTGTGACTTTGAATGGCAGGCTGAGCTGAACTTGCGACGCACCAGTCCCACTGTGCCTCGTATGCTTTGCAGATGCTTTATGATAAGCTGTGTTTGCAGCTCTTTCATAAGGATAAAGTATTTCAATGGAGAAGTCTACTTTGCACATCACACGCTACGGCCACTTGGTTCCAAAGTTTCGAGCATTGCACGGGGGGAGAGCTGCTTTGATCGAGCTTTGGCACAGCACCCTACTTTTGATCTGGGGAGTCATTCTGAAGCTCAGGTTGGAGGCCAACTAGGTAGAGGCCATCGCTATTTGGTTGGGAGGCCATTGCTATTAGGTGCATGTGGTTGGGACTCCTTCTGAATCTTGATCAGTCATTCTGAAACCCATTGTAGCCCGAGGTTGGAGAGTACTCCGTAGCTATCAGGCCTATCCAGCTGTCGAAAAGCGTTGTCACTGTAACTGATACAAAGAGATGGGACTTGCCCGGCATGCCCTAAAGCAAGTTGTGAACCTTTGTTGATAGCTCGATTGGGCGGGCTTGTGACCAGCAAGCCTGAAAGTTTACTGTAGTGGTCTAGTCTGTTCAAGAAGAGTCACGAAACGATGAACTTCAGAGGCTTTACTTCGATCTTGTGCTGCTGCTTGTCATCGCGTTCGGGGTGAGCCCATGACAGAAGACAAACATATGTTTCTTTGCAGAGTGGGAGAATCTTCAAAGTTCTTTTATGCAGAAGCGTGTAATTCAGAACACATTCAATTCCATGCTGGGAGATCCATCAACCTTAGACCTTCTTCAGGTACTCACCTTCATGACACTTCCTCTTTTGCTGAGCCTTGGCCAAGTCAACGCGGCAGGCTTGAATATGTGGGTTCCTTTTGCAGGCCAAGATGATTTGTCTCATGCTTTAAGCCTCTTTTCAACCGAGGATATGTGGCTCCAGCTCGGGAGGTGGACCTGTGCTGCAGCAGCTGGATCCTCAATCACGATTGGAAACACAAAGTGATTGGCTGGGGTTTAGATGTGCGGTGGGTGGCTGCAGGACGGATGAAGTCATCAGCACTTTGGCGAGATTTTCTGTGGGGAACCTGAACAGGTCGGTTTTTTTTTGCAGCTTTAAACGAGATGTTGAGATGCTGTACATACTTTTCTTTTCCCTTATATACATTGGGCCGGGGAAGGATGGAAAGATTGGATAATTGCATGTTTGTCCACTGGAGTACAACTGGGGGGTAAGAGATGAAGCACAGGAGTCTAAGAATGCTGATTCGTGCCTCTCATTTGCAAGCGAGATGGGACTTGTGCAGGTCTCCAGCAGCGGATGTGCCTTCGTCACATTTGTTTGCACAGAGCCATTCTGTTTTCACCCCCATGGCTAAAAGACAAAAGGGGGGGTTCTCATATGAGTACAGTTTTTGTTTTTGTTTTTTCCGATCTCAGCCTGTCAGCAGTCACGTTGCAACCTTCAAGGAAGGACAGAATCTTGGGAACATGCAGGGAGCTACAGCTGGGCTAGGGCCTAGCTGCTAAGGCCCTGTGCATTCGAGCCCTCTTACCCGAGGCCACGGTTCACATCATGAACGAGTTCATTGGCTCCATGGCGTTTGGGATCCACAGCGTCCTAGATCGAAGTGTCAGCCTGTGTTTTTCAAGAAGTGTCATCCCGCCTGCGGTTCACTTGGAAACAGCCTGCTGCATATGGTTTTTTGCATGTTAGTCTGCGGGAACCAATTCTCAAGGCTGCTTTGCGCACTGCTTCTTTTTCGCTTTGCACGGGGCCCAAGTTGATGCTTCCCAATGCATACGAACCCCTTGCCCAGGAAGATACCATTTTTGGTAGTTCTTGGCCAGTATGACACATTTTTGGGTTAAGGTTTGAGGAATGTCTTTGATTTTACTGCATTGATTTTGTGACCATCGTCGATTCGTGCTGCTTGTTTGTTACACCACAATTTTGATGCCGTGTCACACGCGTTCCTTTGCGCATAGAAATGGTTTGCATCGTGCTGCCTGCTTAGTTTTCTCTGGATAAGTCGTGAACAATTAGACATGTTTTGGACAGCATTATGTTTTGGGTGCCTTAGTGTAATCTCCACGTCTTATGAGTACACTGGGGATCTCCCTCACTCCGCCACAGAGTACCTCACCCCAATATATCCGTAAGTGTCATGAGGTCAATCGAGGTTTGCAGCTAACAGCAGAGGCAAACGACAAATGCCACCAGACCATTGCGGTGAGGTCATTGTCAAGCGAGCCACCTACAAAGCCTCTTGGAATTCTGATATTTGTGGGCATGAGACGGATCGTTTTGCAAAGTCACCTGATCAACCACATTTGTCAATTGTTTGCTGTGGTGAAAGTAAGCTGAGAGGTGATCACTGGAGCCCGGAATTGTTTTTGAAACGGGATAGCTGAGATGCATCAATTGACGCAGGGTTGTCGAGATGAAACCAGAGCAACCAAAGTCGTGTTGAGACTCGACATTAAAATAGAGGTCTGCTACTGAAGGCAGCTGCACAGAGCCTTCAAGATATGATGCTTGAGCTTTGATCCATAGTTTGGGTGAGTGAGCTTGTGTCTTCAACATGGCAGACAAATCCGCAGAACATCTCCAACCTAGCAGTTCAGGCGGGTGCGTTGCATTGCCGCATCGAGACAACACTCTAAAGCTGCAACCATCTAGTCTAGCTAGTTCTGTTGAAGTTGTTTGTATATACGTCTAAGAAGTTGTGTAAAATGGCTGGCCAGGTGCGAGCACTTCCCAAAGATCTGGGTTACCATCATTCGGGCTATGAAGAGCTGATACGTGCACGGTCCTCAGACCTCCCAGATTGAACTGGATTGACACTTCTCGGTACGGCTTCTTCAAGGAAGCTCGCTTTGGGGAGCTTCCTTGAAGGAGCCAGAGCTCTAACCTGCGTCCTGGCAACTAGTAGTCTGCTACTTGCTCAAGCTCTCCTCACGGCCCACGGCGGTAAAAATTAGGAAACGTCGGGTTCACATCTAAGGAACACTTCCAAACAGTCGCCTATGAGCGAGCCGTCAGGGCGCGGCATCATTTTCCATCCTTTTGGCACAGACGAAGAGTTTTCCAAAAATTTGCTTCAAGGGTGTGAACACCGTTTGCTTGCTTCAGGGAGGGTTTGATGCGATCTATTTATATACTATTTGTATCTATTTGTTATGTGCAGCTACAGCCTGGCCTTGCCTGCCAGATGGGCACTGCAGAAGAGCTGGATGATCAGCCTGTGCGTGAGGTTGGGGCTCGCTTTGTAGTCTTTGCCATGGTAGGTTCCATTTCCGCTTGCGGGTTAGACTGTCTCCAGCAAATAAATGTGTCAATTATTTGACTGATCTTGTTTCAATACAAACCTTGGTGGCCACAGGTTGTGATGTGGCGGAATTATGAAGGTGCAGTGTATGGGGTGATGAACCAGGCAGATTTCCTTGCTTGGTTTCTATTGAACACAGGTTTGTTTATAAGCTCGTTGTGGAGGTGGAGCTACAAGCGAAGCAACATTCAATCAACACAGAGCTGAAGTTCTTGGAGCAGAAAGCTAGCGAGGAGAGTCAGATTGCCAACGAACCTGATATATCACGCTGTGTTGCGGAGCGAAAGCAATGCGGATGAAGTGCAAAACTGATCCAGAACAAATAAGAATCAGGGTTCAAAGATGTTCCAAGACAAGTGTTGGACACCGAAAGAAGTCTGTACAAATGTCCACTTCGAAAGGTCTTCGGTGACCTTGGGCGACCTTTGCCATGTGAGTTGACCTTGTTTTCAGTACCGGCTCTCTGACGAGCTGGAGCATGACGTTGGCTACACAGCTGGCGGATCGTTGGTGGCTCAAGACATTGCTTCACTTTGCTTCACATGGATTGTTTTAACTGTTTAATTTACTATTCAATTGTTTTGGCCCCACAAGACAACTGCTGTGTTTATTCAGATTCATGCAATTCAGTTGGGGGGCTCAATCCTCGTGGTTGCCTGTAGGCTGGCGCCAACGTCTGGTCGCCTTCTTGGTTCCATGTCGGTTTTTATGCGTTGCATTTCACTAGCAACAAGAGATTGGTCAACTTTCTCACTCCATGAAGTGTAAGATTGGCTGTGATTGAACCTAAGTGAAGACACGAGACAGTAGAGAGTACTTTCCTTCATACTTGAACTGTTGAACTATTGTGTTTCCAGATTCTTGTCTCCAGGTCGGCGACAGTCCACCAAGGGAAGACAGACCATGAACCTGATGAAAGAGAGGCGGTATGTCTTGCTGGGATTCGTTTTGCGAGAAGACCCCTCTCAATGCCGCAGTCCCTTTTTCTTCATCCATGGTATATGTATATATCTCCCTAGTAGCGTCCTTGCTCCTAGTAGCGATGCACTTGTTCCTAGTAGCTTCTTGCTACTAGTAGTAGCGTACTGGCTCCTAGTAGCATATATACAAATAGATTCTGGTAGATTGCAGACTGATTGAATCAGCAGTTGGCGTGCCAGGCAGAGCTGCGGGCTTAGCATCAGTGGCGATAGGGCGGTTGCAGTGCAAGATCACAGGTTGATTCCAAACAACTAATTTGCTTCTGGTATGGTTTTGGGGAGCAACTTTCTGCTTTTCATTTGCTCTGAGGCGCTGCAGTCACAGGAACTTCCAGTGGCAGGAAACCGAGGGGCAGCTGTGAATAGAGTGGAGCTAGCAAGAGGATGGAACAGAGTTTTCAGGAAAGCAAAATTAAACATAGTTGGCAGATGAGTGAGGCTATGAGGAGGTTCGGGAAGTTGCTGATCAGAGAAGGCTTGTGTGCAATTGCTTGTTGATCCCGACTAAGTTCATGAAGAGGGTGCGGACTTCTCCACGGCACGGTACTTTGATATGGAGTTCTTGACGCCTGTTCTATCACTATCATGGTTTCGTTTTGTCTTGAACTTATTATGTTCAACGTGCCTTCAACTGTTTTCTGAGGCTGTCACTGCCATGGCCGAAAAGATGTACGACCGGATTTGCAACCGCGCTGATGCCAGGGCCTATTCGGTTGTATTGCTGTGCCCTTGACAGCGATTGGTCATGTTCTTTTTGCTGCGAAGGGTGGAAAACGGCTAGCCAAGCGGCAAAACCACCTTCTTGCCCAGTCAGCAACTCAAGTCTTGCATCTTGAGCTGTACCTCGAGCTACTGAGCCATTTTTTTGCCTGGGGCAATGAGTATTTGTAATCCATTCGATGCAGAAACCTCAGCGCAAACCCCATTTGTAGCGTTTTCTTGAGTCTTGAGTGCTCTTGTCGAATTTAAGCAAGCCTCCACGCTCCTGTCGTGCTTGTGCGGCAGGAATGACTTGATTGAAGAGCAAATCCTTCAAATAGAAACCGATCGCGCCTTGCATGCAGCCGGGGTCCCAAACAATCCTCGACTCTTCAATCAAGATCAATGGACAAGATAGTTACCAGATACTGTAGTTCGATCGAACAACTTTTTGCATATTTTTTCAAGCGCTTGCTCACTTGCTGACATTCAGTCGGAGAATGCTTGAATCCTTTTTTTGCTCCTGGTTTGACATGCACCTACTGTACCTCATTGAGGATCTGAAGCCCCAAGAGCGGGAGGCAGGAATTTTGTGTCCTGTGTAGACTGTTGCTGCTGTTAGCCCTTCACAAGACCAAGAGCAGAGATAAGCAGAGGCTACAATGCTCCAAGTGCACACACAAGCCCAAACTGGAGGTCATGGGTGCTTTCGTGGTATTCTGGTGTGAGAGAACCCGCGATGCAGTGATGGGTCAATATGGCTGGTCTCGCATGGCGCTTAAAGTCAGAGCACGGAATGGCCGCTCCTCATGTATTTTGAGTTTTTGATGTCTGGACATCCCAAAGGCCCATGACATAGAACCTGTCCCTCATCTATCCTTTTTGTAAAGGGGTAGGCCGGTAGTAGAGGTAGTAGCTAGAGTTAGCTAGTAGAAGAGGTAGCTAGTAGCTTAAGTAGCTACTAGTATGGACTCACGCTTCCTTGAAGAAGCGCTCGCACTACTGTTTTTGTTCCTAGATTTTTAGGGACACTTAACTAGTAGCGATGCCCTTTGCTCCTAATAGCTTTTTTGTTCCTAGTAGTAATGCCAGGAGCCCCTAGTAGCGATGCCCTTTGCCCTTTGCTCCTCACCGGCCCTCTCAGTTGTAGTACTTTGACATGTCACATCGCACAGCTCCCACACTGCCGCGCCACTCCAGGCTCATGGTGGTGCCGTGCCTGCTGTCAACCTAGGCGCTTGCGCAGTGACCTCAGGTGGATTGGACAAGTGCAGCGTTATTGATATTGAAACTAGGTGAGGGGGAGGGAGAGAATTCAGAGAGCCCAGATTAGATTGTTTTTTCTCTTTACAAGAGTTAAGACTCTTAAGACTGTAAGACAGAGAAAACTGTTTGGGTCTCTTGTTTTTTCACAATCTTTTTTGGGATGTCTTAATTACCTGCGTGTCATGCCCGACTGTATAGACTCGAGGCTTGAAGCTGCCCTTCGAGGTGGTGCTTTTGAAGCCTTCCGTGCGGTCATTTTTGAGCATTTTTGAAGCATGCCGATTTGCAGGAAAGCAGTGACAATTCAGAAGGACCTCCAGATGAAGAGGAGATTGCGGGACTCTTAGCAGAGACTCTTTGCTGGCATTATGGATCATTTTGAGGGGTCGTGGTTTTAATGTTGGTGGTTGGTTGAACCATTTTGCCCCGCTCGACTCCAAGGCCTTTCCTTTGATTGTAGAACCTACCCAGGCAAGGTGCCTCAAGTATTCCTGACGTGCATTTTTCCACAGTCCATCTTGATTTGTTTGCAGGATCCATCGCTGCAGCTATGGCAAAACATGGATGTGAAGCCTGTAGTCCGCACGGTGAGGAGTTGTATCATGGGCTTGGCCGAAGCACTTAGCTTTGAGCCGTGTGTGCAGTGTCAATGGGCATGGGAAAGACCATCGATGTTTTTGTTTTCTTCTTTTTTTTGTTGCAGTTCGCAACAATGTGCATTGTAACAACCGAGTGCCGCCTTGTGGTGTTCACCGTCGTCTTCTTGGCTGGGGCCCCGTGAGCTTCGTTCCGTGAATGTCAGAGTGACAAGCCATTTCACCGACAACTTGCTCAAGGTTGCATGCTTCACGGGCACCACCCATGTCTATTATCCTATCCTACTCCCTATGGAGGCCATGAGCAGCTTGTGCCACAATGCCGGGTTCTCCCAAACTCCAACACATTTGGCAGGCCACTGTATGGGTCATCACAAACATGACGGATATTGTGGTGAATGTCAATGCATCAAACGGTGAGGCCATGCTCTCAGCTTGCAGACAAGACTGTTGGAAGTTGAGTGAGCCTTTTGGAAGCTGTTTCTTGACCACAAGAGCTGTTTTTGTAGACTTAAATTTTGATGCTGATTACAGAGGGCACTTTCCGCAACTTCAAGTGTGTTTCGTCTTTTCAAGTCACCTTGTTCAATCCGCTGAGGTCTGTTGGCGTGTCTGTGAATTGGAGCTTTTCTCGGATTCGCCGGGTATCCCAGAGGGTCTCAGAGAGAATGGACTTCTTTAATTCCCGAGTTACTAGGTCATCCAAGAATTGCTCAGATTTTTAGAACAACCTCGTGCTGTCTTTGGAAAAAATTCGATGCTTTGCAGTTTTCAAAGTTTTGGGCTCACTCGAGTGTGATAGATTAATTGCTACCCTCGCATTGAGCGCAGCGTTTGTTCGTCTCCAGTGTATCCTTTCTGAACGACTGGATCCCTACAGGAGTTGTCAAACTCGACTGGATCCCTACATGTTTGTTGCTGCCTCAGAAAGTTGCTGGAATGAATCGATGAATCAACGGTTCAGCAACCAGGTGTCGAGCAATGGCTTGCCCACTGGCAAGGGCCTTGCCGACTTTGCTGCCACGTCGTTCCACGCTTTTGAGACGGGTTATGGACGAAGGTATTGCAGTCTTTCTCCACTTTGTCCATCCAGCGAGACAAGAACAGCAGTTTCGCAACCTGTTTCTTCGGAGAAATCAATGAGGTGATGATGCGGGCCTGCGTTTTGCGCAAGACCGAGTGTTTGCTGGCGGTAGTGTGCCAGGAGCCTTAGGAGTGCTTTTGCCTTCGCACAGTTGCAGTTTCCCAAGTTGATGTATATGAGGGTCTCAATAGGTTGCAAAGTGTACCTCTGCATTTAATTTAGGATCAGAATTCACTTCTTGTCTGAAGAGAGACAACATCCGCTTGCGTTTGCAGGTGTATGCATGACTGGCGACCTGCAACCTGTTGGGTTGGGCACTAAGTCAAATGTGGCAGCTGGAAGAGGATATTGATGATATTGATGAAGGCACCCTTGAACCTGAGCGCGTTGTGCGGAGAGCCTGGGAATTGTCCGGCTCAAGCCCTAGATCTTCCATTTTTCTGGAGTAGAATCGTTTGCAGAGAGAAGCATGATTCGAACTGATTAATCCTGATGTTGTTCGTGCAAGTTCCAGTGCTATAAGTGCCGCAAATGACTAATTGACTGACAAGGCTTCTGCCAGCTCGGGTGCTCGGCGTGTCGAGGACAGGAACAGCTCTGTAGAGTGCAAGTGCTCTTGCAATGCGCACATTGCAGGAGGTTGTGCAGCAAGAAAGGCAGGTCGAGCTGTTTGAACGATCTAAACGCAACATCGTTTGCCGTAACCCTTGCTTGGATTTTCCCACATTTACAACATCAAAGGAGTCTTGGCAGGCAGGAGGAGCTGCACGAGGAGGAATCCTTTGAAGAGACCATGGAACAACCCAGGAGCCTGCTCGGATTGCGAAGCTGACAAACATTGGCTTCTGATTCACTCAGTTTGTTTTGGTTGCGCTGATCAGCCACGAACTTATATTTCACTCGTAGCTGAGATGCTGGTCATACACCAGGCAGCTATCGTCCACAGCATGCCCCTGGATTACTGAGGGTCTAGCGCATAGAACATGGTACTTGGGACAGGTCCTTGAAACAATGCGTAAAGTCCTGACCGGGTTCTGAGGTTCTTACAACGTCAGCCAGGTTACTTACACGATCCGATATCAGTCACTCTATGGCTCGTCCAGTCCTGAGTCCCACGACCAATCACGCACAGGCCAAGTACCTCAAAATCTATGCCCCCAACCGAACCTGCTTTTCTTGGCAGTTGGCTCCAGTGTGTGCTGCAAGGTTCAAAGGCAGTACTAACACCAAGCCCGAATTGATTTCTGCATTGCAAACAGAGCTTGCCTCAGAAAGCATTTGTGCCGAATTTGCATTGAGGGTATGAAGAGCTTCTTTGATTTGCTGGGGCTCCTGTCCTCGAGGCCTTTGAGGAGGTACCTGAAGTCCTGGCAGAGACATCGAGCAATTGGCCCAGCCCACTGACAGTCCTCGACCTTGGTGTTTTCATAGGTTCTGGTCATGAAAGGTATGAAAGTTTGGTACGAGTGAGACTTCCTTGAAGCCCTTTCCATTCTTGGAAAGAGGGCATTTTATGTGGAATTATCTTTCCTTTTTGGAACATCTCTTGTTCTACCTGTTGCTTCTGTGGCTTCTGGCTTTCTTGGCTTTCGGCTTGTTGGTTTTGACTTTGTGGCTTCTTGGCTTTTGGCTCTCTCTGGTCGCTTGGTTTCTTGGTCCTTTGGCTCCTCGGTCCTCTGGTCCTCTGGTCCTCTGGTCCCTTGGTCCTGTGTTTCCTTGGTCCCCTGGTCTCCCTAATCCTGGAGCCACTCTCCCTAAAGCACTTTGTGGGCACATCGAAAAAGCAACGTTTGTTGTTTTCACAGCCTGGCGAGTCCATCCGTTTCCTTCTGCGGTTTGTGTCGCCTCGCTGCACCTGGCTCTGCAGCGTTTCAGTGGCCTTGGGCTTTTGGTGGTTTCTGTGGCTTTTGACTGCTGTGGCTTCTGCGGCTTTTGGCCCTTGGTGGCTTTTGTGGCTTTTGGCTCGTGTTTGGTTGGGGGGTTGGTATGTTTTTTGATGGTTCTCGTGGATTTCATTGGATTGTGATGGTTTGGTTTTGACACCTTGTTCTGTTGGCTTTTGGTAGTCTTTTGGTGATTTTGCACTTGCTGACGGTGGGCTCCGGGTTGGGTTGGTTTGTGTTGGCTTGCTTTTGGTTCTCATGGATTTCGTTGGATTTTGACGGCTAGGTTTTGATACCCTTGTTTGTTGGAATTTGGTAGCTGTTTGGTGGCTTGGCACTTAGTTTGCTCTTGGGGGGAGGCGCTGTGCCTTCCCCTCAAGCCCCTCCAGCTTTCTCAAGCCAAGCCAAGTCAACCAAAGCAAAACAAAACAACTAAACCACAGCCGAAGTAAAGCCAAGCCAGTTTAGGGTAGCGGGACCCCTTGCCACCACTGAAAGACTGCACCCTCCTCAGAGGCACCAGTAGACCACACTCTGCTGCAAAAGCAAAAAGAGCAAAATATTCACCAAAAAGAGACCAACATTTCAAAAACTAACATTGCAGCCTTTGGAGGTCTTCGGAAGGTCTACGTTTTTGAGGCCGGACCAAGCAGCTACGCCAAAACCCTATGATGAGTGGCTTGATGTCAGGGGAATCCAGTTGGCATGCCACCAGATGTGTCACAGGTTTGGACCTCAACAGAACGTGGGTGTGTTTGAACAAGCTGCTTTGGTCGCGGAACGATTCTTCCTTCGCACAAAGATCATCCGCCACACACAGCCACATGCTTTCAGGTTTCTCATGACTGCCCAAGCCCCAGAGAAGCTATTTGAGTCGGGAGTTGGGAACAACTAATCCGATTTGGTTTGCGTTGGTAAAGCAGAACATGGTTTGAGGGTGTCAGCCCGGGGTGTCATTGTCTTCAAGTCGATTTGTACAGTCGCTGTCTCTCAGGTGGTGATGATCCTGATGCGGCGACAAAACTGAAAGAGTGGCTGGGCATATCTGGGCCAGATTCTTACGGATTTGAGTCATCATTTCATGATTTTAATGTTCCATTTGAAGCCGTCCACTAGGCCCTAGGCTGAAACTTCCCAGTTGAACCTGCTCAGTCACCAGCTTCACTGCCAGGCCTGACGTCCAAGCGCTGTCCTCCTGCCAGGTTGTGTATGACATGCATGTGCTGTGTTTGCTCCCAAACCTGGTCAGTTTTCCTTCTCGCAGAGCGGTGCAAGGACTTTGCGCGGATGGGGCTGCTAGGGGTGCCATTTTGCTCTAATCTGCCAAAAGTCTATCGATGCCTGTGTGCCCTGGTGCCATTCAGAAACCTGTAGCTTGTGAAGATGTGGGTTGTGTCCATTTTGGTTTCTTGCTCCAGATGCTAAATTTTTCCTAGCGCCTGACAGACGTTCCAAGCTCTCAGGTGCTACGACCTGCAGGTGTCCCTGCCAAAATAGCACATGTGACTGCGAGGCGCTGCAATTGATGGGCCTTGGGATCACAGCGAGGTTCTGTGTTCTCGGAAATGAGCACCAGAGCCTCATTTTTGCTTGGTTGCACGCGTTGTAGCTGATGGCACACGGGTGCTTGACAGAGCAGATGTCAAATGAATGCACGTCATGACTCCATGACAAACTCCGAGGTTGTGAGCGCAGATAACCAACAAAGATTCATGACAAACACAACATGTTTTATGGAACAAATCATTTGATGCCTTTCTTTGAAAACCATGATCTTTGTCATAAGTAAACAGGGAGTGTCAATGCCTCCCTCCCCTGCGGCAATTTTCAGATGCAACTATATATATATATAGATACTATATATATATATACACATGATATATACATATATATGTATCATATGCATATAACTATATATATGTATATATATATATGCTGCGGCAGGAGAGAACATCTTTGCTACGGGGTTGCTGTTTGCAGATTGATCAGCTTCTTGAATTGTTGTGGTGATGTCCACCAGCGCGTGCGGCCTCAAAGTTGAGCCCAGCGCGTCTGAGGTTGAAACCTGGTTGATCCTGCCTCAAGAATTAAGCCATGTATGTCTCTGTATAAGACAATATAATCATTTACACAATGAAGCTGCGAATGGCTCATTAAAGCAG